AGCAAATGGTAGAGGAACCCATGCATGAACACATCGTTGAAGCAAACGTCCCTGTACAGAGTCCGTCCGATAGTCAATATGGACCAGTTCGAGCATCCAGGATTCGACAACACGATAAAGGTCCACCCACCTTTTGGCTAAGACCACCAGAAATGCTCCAAGATGATGTTCGTGATGTGTTGATGGAAACTCATGGAACCAAACGGAGTCACTCGCCCGACAAAGGGCAAGAGCAACCAAACAAGAACAGTCGAACAGAAGATGCCGATGAGTGTCTCTTGGCTGACCTTGTGCAAGATCAATGTCCGTCACTGGAGGTGCTTGTGGCAAATTTCTTAAAAAAGAAAATGCAGAAGGAAATCCATCACTCGAAGAACCCGCCGGATCTTCAAGAAAAGGTTGATGAATCAAAAACTGTTGAATGGCAGACCCTTCGTGATGAAAAGAAAGCCATCATTGTGATTCCTCCGAGACAGGCCCAACGAATCAGAGAAACCAAACCTCATCGCATTATGACCTCCCGGTTTGTTGTGGTGGAGAAACATGAGGACGGGGAATCCAAGGTAAAATCACGATGGTGTTTAAGGGGTCACCACGATCCCGACCTCACCCAGAAGATCTTAGCCGGGAAATGCCATTCTCCCACGCTGTCCCAGTTTGGCCGAAGCATCGTCTTGCAAATGTTGGTGAGCAATCAATGGGAAATGAGTCTAGGAGATATAAAAGGAGCGTTCCTTGAGGCTGATGTGACTGCCAAAGCACTCGCAAATCCAGTGTTTGCCGAGCTGCCACCAGGGGGGCGTGCCTGGCGTAGAACCAGGCTCTCTAGTGCAGATTATGGGAAACATTTATGGAGCCAATGATGCGCCACAAGAGTGGTATTGCGAGTTCGATAAAGTGGCAACCGCCGCTGGCTTCGCCAGGTCGAAATTCGACAACTGCCTGTATCTCTGCTACGGTCCTGACAACAAGTTGCAGGGTATTCTAGGTGCTCACGTGGATGACACCATAACAGGTGGGAAAGGTGAAGTGTATGATCAAGCAGTAAAGACACTTCGAGCACGATTTCCTTTCCGAAAATGGCGCACGGGCACCGGGGAGTTTTTAGGTACCGTGTACTCACAAGATCCAACGACTTTCGAGATATCCTTTCAACAGACTGAATATGCAACTCACATTCAACCAATAAGGATGTCGAAGGACCGTGCAAAGAAACACTGGTTGGCTGCGACTGAACAAGAAGTAGCGGCACTGAGAGCAGTGAATGGCGCGCTTGGCTGGCTCAGCTCACAAACCAGACCTGACTTGGCAGTACAAACCTCCATAAGTCAGCAAGCTTTCCCTAGGCCAACTGTGTCAGATCTGCTGCACGCCAATCAAGCAGTTCGTCGAGCAAGACAGCAGTCAGACCTACAGATCAAGGTCCCATACATTCCCCTGGAGGAACTCACCCTGTGTTTTTGGTCAGATGCTGCTTTCGCAAACTCATCAGAAATGAAAACTCAAGGGGGCTGGTTGGCTGCCTTCACATCCAAAAAAATGAGCTTGGGTCACGATGTTCCCCTGTTTTGTTTTGCTTGGAAATCATATAGGCTGCCAAGGGTAGTGTCCAGCACCTTAAGTGGTGAAGCTCAGGCCTTCGCTACCGCATCAGGTGTCAGCGAATGGATGTCCTTGATGCTGGCCGAATGTACAGACGGGCCAATCGAGCTGAGCGAACTTGATGAGGCCTTGACCAAGCACAGTCCCATCGGCATGACCGATTGTCGATCATTGTATGATCATCTAGTGTCCTTGGGAAACGGTGGATCAATAGACGATAAACGCACTGCCATAGACGTTGCAATCATTCGTCAGTCAATTCGTAGAACGGGATTAGAGCCTAGGTGGTGTCCAACCGGACACATGGTCGCTGACGGTCTGACCAAGGACCGTGCTGAACCCGTAGATCTCTTAAGATCAGTTCTTCGAAGTGCCAAATACCAGCTGGCTGACGAACAAGCCGTTCTGGATAGAAAGAAAGCTGAAAAGGAAAGACGCAAAAGAATTGCTTCTGAACGCACCGCAGCAAACTTGTCATCGAATGCAAGTATCTCCACCCAGAGGAGAAGGGGTTTTGACTCAGAAAGACAGTGAAGCAGGGGTTTCACTGCAAGCCTGCAGTCGAGTTTGTGTGTGCATTTTTCCATTTTTGCCGTTGTTTGTGTAGGTATCACCATAGCTTCATGACCGATAACATGCCTGCCTGCAAACCTTGTGGAAATAATCCGTGTATGTATAGATCGTTTGCAAATATGTACAGAGCAATAAAACGAAAGGATGAATAAGACCAAGATCAAATAACAGTGTTTGTGTTTCGCTTGCAGCTCAAGCCTCTCAAAGCAGGTCACCGACGTGTGACCACCGCTTGTGAAACATACTCGAACTTCGAGCAAATGGCCAGCTCGACACCCGTGAGTCCAGAAGAGCTGAAGGCTGCAGCTGAGGTGATTGCCCGATACCAGAGTTCTGGTGTCGCCATTGTGGAGGGGCCAAAGACCGGAGGTGCAAAGTCGGGATCGACCGGCGCAATGCATGATGGTTCAAAGCGTTTGCGCTCGCTTGATGAAGATTGGGAAGCAGTTGAGGCCATGGAAGCCGCCACGAGCTACCAGATCCCTGATAGCACCTTGGTGAAAGATCGAATGGAAAGGAAACCTCAAGAGCAGCTGCCACTCCATCCGATGAGCGCTGGAAAGAAGTGTGCCTTGCCACCCGGCGTTTCCACCCTGGGCGAATGGGGTAAAACCCTATGCACCCTGCCTAAGCATGCCGCATCCAAGCTCAGTTACCAGGAATTGGTGGCTGACGACAGCAAGCATGAATATTTAGTGTGGGTTGTTAAGCATGGCAAAGGCCGCGGAGGTCGTTTCGAAGACCTCGCTTTGTACCTGGAGGCAATTGGCTTTGAATCCTCTTCCAGCCATTCCTCCAAACCCGAGGAAACTTTTCTAGGAAGCTCAGCTCGACGGGTCTTGAAGTCTTGAGTTTGAGCCGCACGAGTGCAGAGACACAAGCCTCCTCTGAAGTTGTGATGTGTTCGGCCGGAAGCCTTGGAACATGCAACCTTCCGTTAGTCCATAGCTTGAACATATAAAGAATCATATAAAGAGGAGTGAAAATGCAGTGTCCCTCATCCAGCATTCGTTCGTGATCCTGACCCTTGCAGGCAACTCGGTCCGAGGTCGGAAAAGGTCCGAGCGGCCGCGCGTTTTGACTCAGGAGAGTCGTGGGGCCAATCGGCCCGGGTTTTCTAATATATATAGTCAAAACCAACTGGTAGGCAGAAAAGTACCCCAACGGGAATCAAGCAGCACATATTTCACCGCAATGGAAAATGCACAGAACGCACTGCTTACTAGGGCCCCTTCACATGTCATGCATTGCGCTGCCATCGTGCTGCTTACAACTGCTGCTTCCAAATCTCTGCAGAGCCTTCACTTTTTCCCAATCTCGCGAAAGTTGATATCCATCTCGGAACTTTCCCTCTACATACATGCAATCTTGGACTTGGAGATTCAAACGGCGCTTCAAGGAAAGCTTTGGTTTACCAAAAAAACACCACATTTAGACAATGTGCATATGTATGTGTACTGTATTATATAAATAGATACACATATAACAATAACATTATAGCCATGTATAGGGGCTCCTGGCATCGCTACTAGGAGCAAGGACGCTACTAGGGGC